TTTTAACAGCTATTTTGGCTATTTTGGATAGTGACAACAAGAATAAAAAGTATAACCTACAAAATGTATATCCACACAAACACCTGTATATAAATATTTCTTTTACTTTTATTGTTAGTCATAGGGTTTGAACTCTGGGTCTGGGCATTGTCCCTCAGCTCTTCAGCTCAGGTTAATGCTCTACTACTTGAGCCACAGCACCACTTCTGGCTTTCTCTGTTTATGTAGTGCTGAGGAATCGAACCCAGGGCCTCATGCATGCAAGGCAAGCACTCTACCACTGAGCCACCTTCCCAGCCCCCAATATACGAATATTTCTATTAATACTGCAAAAACTTGGAAACAACTAAAGATGCTCTTCGGTAGTAAATGGCACATCCTGATCATGGATTAAGACGTGGATTATTAACCCATAAGGATACGCTATTCAAGAGACAATGATACATAATCTCAATGCTAAGGGAAAATAAGCTATGGAGTTACCAAAAGCCATGGAGGACCTTAAATTTATATGACTAAATGAAAGAAACAATTTGGAATGGTCAAAGAAATTGTGATTACAATTGTGTAACATTCTAGAATAATGATCGCTAGGACGTGGGGAAGGAGGACTAAGCAGGTGGGTGATAGAGGATTGTGAGACCAGTAAAACTAGGGTAGCACAATGGTGTCGCCACAGTACTGTGCATTTGTCAAAGTTTAACCACAAGAATGACACTTTGTGTGAGCTTTGGGTTCTGAGTGGTGAAAGGAATCAATGAAAATTTGTAGTTGTTGAGGTAAACATTGCGAGGCACAAGCAAACAATGTGGTATGACAGGGGTAGAGAGAGGTTTATGCAAAATCTCTATACTTTCTGTTCAGTTTTACTGGGAACCTAAACAGCTCTAATAAGTAAACTTTTAAAGTTACAGACTAAATCTTAACTCAGTTTACTTCCTTTTACAACCCAATGTTTACAGGTAACCAATTTAAGTCCCATGTTCTACAATTTGGGCAACACTCCTAAATTGTAAGATAAAAGCAAGAAGCATAGTATGCCTTCTCACTTAAATACTATGTGATATTCCCTCTTACAATTATCTTTAAGAAAAAATTGATATTTAAAAAAATCAGTCTGAACAAAAAGTCACAGAAAATAAAATAAATGTAGCTCTTAGATTGTCAGTGAGCATCTTAAGTATATTGTTTGGGGGAAAGGACACAGTCAAACAGAACTAAGAATTTATTTTGTGTGTTCAGGCTCATAATTGAAACCAATCTTGTTTTGTGCATGTTAGGAGAGGTAGGAAGAGAGAGAAGATTGTCATGGATATCTTCATGTCTGGTTCCAGAAGCCTCATTCTCAAGCTGCACAGATGGCCTATATTACTGTAATCATGTGCTTGCACACTCACGGGCAGATCTGAGCCAATCACAGCGGGGCAGAGTGGGACTCCAGCTGGCAGATTTCAAGGGAGAGCCTACAAACTCAGCCTGATCACGGCTGCTTTGCCATAGTTGTCTCCTTCACTCATACCTTGTTACAGACGTCACTCAACATTGCTGGACTCATGTGAACAGGTGAGAGATTGCTGTAGCCTTCAAATTCGCTTGTAGTTACTTAGGTGTTGTGGACTACAGAGCACACGTGACATCTTGTACTTGCCTCTGAGGCTTTTGCAAAGTTTGGTTGAGAAAACTGAGTGACCCTGAAATTTCCTGTTGGGCTAAAGGGGAACCAACTATCAAGATGTAGAAGTTGGCTTGAGGGGCTGGGAAGGTGACTTAGTGGTAGAGTGCTTGCCTTGCATGCATGAGGACCTGGGTTTGATTCCTCATAAGCAGAAAAAGCCAGAAGTGGCGCTGTGGCTCAAGTGGTAGAGCGCTAGCCTTGAGCTGAAGAGCTGAGGGACAGCACCCAGGCCCAGAGTTCAGCCCCACGACTGACCAAAAAAAAAAGAAGGTGGCTTGAATATATACTCCAAGAGTTAGAAGGTGGCTTTGAGATGTGCTGCAAACATTCAGGAGCTTGGAGGAGAGGAAGAAGGGATGGAAGAGAAAACGAGCCCGATGGCTGCTCAGGAGGAAGAGGGGAAGTGAAGCTGCTGAAGTGGCAGCCTGGTTTCAGAGCCACAGCCTGCCCTGTCTCCCCATAGCCTGTTAAAAGTGCAGCAGCTCAGTCCTCTAACACATCCCTTTGAGCTTTCTGTTGAAAAATTAAAAAGGTAAGCTGAAGTCTTTGGACATCTCTGCTAAACTGACAATCCAGCTGATATGCAAGACCAGCATTAGCCTGTTCTGGTGACCAGAGAACCAGAGAAAACGAGCTATTTGGACAATTATGCAAAGTTAATAACAACCTTGGGATCTCCAAGTGTTTGTTTGTTTGTTTTGTCAGTCATGGGGCTTGAACTCTGGGCCTGGGCATTGCCCCTCAGCTCTTCAGCTCAAGGTGAGCACTCTACCACTTGAGCTACAATGCTACTTCTGGTTTTCTGGTTTATTGAAGATAAGAGTCTCATATACTTTCCTGCCTGGGCTGGCTTTGAACCATGTTCCCCAGATCTCAGCCTCCTGAGTAGATAGGCTTATAGGCATGAGCCACTGGCGCCTGGCTTCTCCAAGTGTTTTGTAAATAACTTTGGGTAGCAGTGCACACAGCCAGGCTCAGCATAGCTAATTCATCAGGATTAGTGAGTCTGAGATTCTGAGTGTTGTCTCTGGCTACTTTACAATCTGAATTGGAAGGAAGATAACTAGAACCCTGTCCTAAGGAGGCTAAAGGGAAGCTTTGCAGCCCAAATGGCCTAGGACGTAGTTCCCTTCATGGAGAAGTATTTCTCAGATCACAGGCTGCTAGGTCACAATGATCTGCAGTTCTTCTTACAGGAAAGACGCAGTGGAAAGATTCGGAAGAATCTCTTACTGCTACAGAGAAAAACTGCCCACTCTCAAGACAGCAGTTTTGCCATGACAATGTCCTCAGAAGCTATGGGAGGCCTGAGGGTGGAGAGACTTACCCTGTGGGTAAAGTCCTGTTTCAGCTTTAGTATCAGAAAATTAGTCATAGGTGTTCATATGCATTGACTCATGACTGTTAGGCCCAGTTCTGGATCCTTGGGAATCCATTGATGAGCAACAACAAACAGGAAACATAATCCATGTTCTCATGAAGATTACATTATGAAGGCAGAAAGAGACAATAAATAGGAAGGAAAGAAATAGAAAAGAAGGAAAGAAGGATGCAAGAACCGGTCAAGAAAGCAACAAACGTTGCAAGTGTAAATATGAGTTGATTTTCCACAATCTAGTCAGACTTGAAAGGAGTTGGGAGGGACCCAGAGTCAGAACAAGGAGGAGGGCTTTCTTGGACCAGAATGTCACAGTGAGCAAGATACTGCACTATTCTGCCTCCCTGGTGGTCTGGAAAGGTGGTCTTCTTCTACCATCCAAAGTGAGCCTCCTCATGCCTGTGCCCTTCAGAATCCCTAAGAACGTGTCCCAAGCCCTCCAGACAGTCACTGATCCTACTTCTTGTCTTCCAAGTCTATATAAACATCTATGGGCAAGCTTTGCCATTTTGTGTTAACTTTCTCTCTCCTTTTGTGTGGCCAGATGATTCTTGGAAGGGTATGGTCAGTCTGCATTGAGAACAGAGCCCTGGAAACAGGGAATAATAGAGACTTGTGAATGGACCTCTTCTGGAGTTATAGATGACAGCAAGTTTGTCTCCAAAGTATGTCTTGTTACTTTTATTTTTCTATTGTTTAGAACTGAGCCCAGGGCCTTGCATATACTAAGAAGGTGATCTACTCCAGCTTTTGATTTTCTGACATTATGTAGCACAGGTTGGCCTTGAACTCACATCCTCCTGCCTCAGACTTCTGAGTTTACAGGCTGAGATTTACTTCTGAGATTTCAGGCTGGTACAATTGTGCCTGGCTAGAAAACTACTTCCAATGAAACCAGCTCAGAGACTTGCTTTTTTCAGAGAGTTTCCTGGGGATGGAAATAGCAACATTTAGAGTGAAGGAATTTCAAGGTGCTCAGGCCATGCCTGGCACAGGGCAAGCTTATTATGTCGCTTAAACAAAATGACCACCCTGGATTCAAAAGGCTGGTGCCGACTCCCATCTGGGTCTTGTGAAAGCTTCTGACGCTTCTGAGATCAGCCTTTGCAGTTTTAGAATAAAGGACAAAAATCATAGTAAGACCGACCTTAAAGGGGTTTTCTTAGAGATTAAGCCTCCCAGAGCAGGGACTAGCCAGCTATATGAATGTTTGTTACATGGGACAGTTCTGCCCTCTAGTGGACAGTCTGGCTTATTTCCCCAACTGACAGTTTCATGCCAATATCATTTTTACCTAGCAAGAAGTCCTTCTTCAATAAGCTTACCTTTTCTGAGCATATTTCTTTGGCATCTGCAACTGACATGATTTATTAATCAGACAGAAAACATCTTTATTCAGTGAGCAAATGAGTGACTTGGAAACTTGTTTTAATTAATGCAGGCTAGGCAAAGATTCTACTACTGAGACACATCTTCCTAGTCCTGCCAAGCAGGAGCCAGACAGATGCTTAGCTCCAGCCCCAGTACCAGCGTTTAAAATGAAACAAAGGAGGGTAATTTATTTGCATTTTGTTTACTTCTTAGTTTTAATTTCTGAGTCCAGCCCGCTCTAAAGGCCCGTGGTATTTGTTACGTTATTTTTAACGGCATTTGTTAAACATTCTCATCTTCCTAAGTTGGCTCCCAGTTCATTGAATGTAAACTCTAAAAAGGAGCCGGAAAGGTCCGATTTGAGGCTCCGCCCCCCCTCCCCGCACCAAAGGATGGCTGGTTCCGTCACTCAGGAGACCGCGCGCACCGCTAGCCAATCAGCGGAAGCAGGCGGTGGGGGCGGAGACATGGCTGGTCCTGTCACTCAGGAGATGGGGTGCACCTCTAGCCAATAAGCGGCCGCGAAGGAGGGGGCGGGAGCTCGTCTCTGCAGCGCTTCCTTCCTGGTCCCGGGGAGCTCGGGCGGGCGGGAGCGGCCGGGAGCGGCCGGGGGAGGGAGGCTCCTAGCGGTCAGCCTTTGTTGCACCGTGACCCGCCCTGACAGCAGGTGTGTGAGGAGAACTCGGGGGACCCTGGAATCCGGGATGGTGAGTGTGGGGTGCCCGTGTGGAGAGGATGGGGTGGGTGGAACTCTCCATCTCCGGCCTGGGTCGGCCCAGGCCTCGCCGCGGTGCAGCAGGCCCTACTCTCCCCTGTCCGGCCCGGGGGGTCCGGGGCGCCGGCCCTGACGGCCCGGGGGAGATGGGGCGCTGGCTCCCACGGCCCGGGGGTCCGGCTCCGATGGCCCGGGGCGGGGGTTCCTGGGGGTTCGAGGCGCTGGCTCTGACGCCCGGGAGATGAAGAGGGGGGCGCTGGCTCCCACGGCCCGGGGGGAGGGGATGGGTTGCTGACGGCCCGGGGGGGGGGAGGTTCTGGGGGTCCGGGGCGCCGGCTCTGACGGCTCGGGGAAGAGGATGAGGCGCTGGCTCCCAAGGCCTGGGGAGGGGGATGGGGCTCTGGCTCTGATGTCCCGGGGGCGGGGTTCCCGCGGGGGTGGGGGCGCTGGCTCTGACGGCCCGGGGGTGGGGGCGCTGGCCCTGACGGCCCCGAAAGCTCCCCGTCTGCGGCCTTCCGGCCCTGCGCAGGCCACACTTAGGGTGTGCACCCCAAGTTCCTCTGCCCCGTGCTGCCTTTGGGGAGCGCTAGGCTCCGCACTGACATCTGGGGAGCGGACCCCTTGAGGGGCCGAGCTAAGAAGTGGCGTGAAGTCCACCCTGGGAACTACCGCGCCAGGCTGCAGCTGAAAGCTAAGGCAATCACCCCCTCTCCAGAGACGGCCGCACGGCACGCACCCTGGACGCTTGGGGTGTGGGCAGCGTGAAGGGGCAAAGGCACAGAAGGTGATTTTTATTTTTTACCGGTCTTGGGAGGGGCGCTCACTCCCACTTGGCTTTTTTGCCCAAGGCTAGCTCTCTACCACTTGAGCCATAGCTCTACGTCTGGCTTTTTGCTACTTAATTGGAGATGAGAGTTCCATCTGTCTTTTCTGTCCAGACTTGCTTCTATCCTCAGATCTCAGTCTCTTGAGCAGCTAGGGTTACAGACTTTAGCCACCAGTGCTCAGCAAGCTTGGCTTTGTTGCTGGTTATTTTGGAGATGGAGTCTTGTGGGCTTTTCTGCCTGGGCTGGCTTCAAATTGTGATCCATCAGATATGAGCATCTTGAATCACTAGGATTATAGACATGAGCTACCATAGCCCAGCTGAATTCCTTAACTTTTTGGATGAATTTTACCTTTTTTAAAAAAGACATTTCCTTCCTCCCTCCCTTCCTCCCTCTCCCTCCTTCCTGTAATGAGGTTTGAAGAGCCCTATACTTAAAAAATATTTTTATTGTCCCCACTACCCCCCTAAAGTTGGAAGTGGATCCATGGTTAAAGTGGTAAAGCACTGTCTCTTGAGCAAAGCTCAGGTACAGTGCCCAGTGCCCAGGCCCCTGGGCCGGGGACAGACAGAGAAAAATCAGAGATTTCTTTCTTGGGTAAGCAGTCAAGGACATATCAAGGAAAGACTTTTTTTTTTCAGAATTTTCTGGTAACTTCCTTTTATTGAATACAATCAACACATTATAGTGTTGTGTTTGGGGGGTGGTAGTCCCTAGATTATCAGTCATCTAGATTATCAATCATTTTTGTTCTACCTGGGAACAAATTGTGGGTTGGGAGAAGAAACTTTGCAAGCTATCCCAGGCCCTTGGCAGTTTTTCTTATCCTAAGCCAACAGCCAGCCTTGAGAGTTGCACCCTCAAGTGTTACGTTGCTGTACTGCCTTGGGTGCCTTGGCCTACAATTGGTTCAGCTCATCCAGTGACCAGGGCCTACAGCTTCTCTTCTTTCTATTTTTTATTTTAGTTTAATTTTTTAAACATCCTTCTGATTCTCTCCAGATCTCCATTCCTTCTCTTTTTCTCTCTACTTTCACCCCCCACCCTTGTCTCTGCAGTCTCTGCTGCCCCTGGCTTTTGCCCTGGCTCTGTCTCTGCTGCAGCTGTTGTTGTTACTAGTCTGTCACTAGCCCAGCTGTTACTGCTGCCAGGGCCGGGGCTGCCTCTGACACCAGCTCCAGCCCTGCAGGTGACTGCATGGCTACTGCTCCCGCCTCTGCTATTTCTTCTTTGTGCTACCAGCTCAGTTACTCTTAATGATGGAAATGAAAAGTAAACAAGAAAAGATCACCCCAACTAAGCCTTTAGTGCAATATCAGGGCACCGTAGGTTATCCCCACTCAAGCCCTATACTTTTTGCTTTAGTTTTCTTCATGTTAAGTCTTTATCACTTGATAATATATTGACAGGAATTCTAATACAGTTTTAAATAGTAGAAGATATAAAAGAGTCATTAATTGTATTTATTTTTTAAAATGTAGATGCTAAATGATATAAAGTAATTGAACATATTTATTGAATACAGAATATTTCTTTTTATTTGTTTTGCTTTTCTTTTTTGTTTTTGACATAAGGTCTTATTATTTATTCAGGCAGGCCTGGAAATCTGGATCCCTTTGACCTAGTCTCATGAGTATGTACTGTTACTCCTGGTGGAGGTGTTTTTGTTGTTGCTGTTGTTGGTTGTAAGGCTTGAACTCTGGGCCTGAGAGCTGTCCCCGCACTCTTCAGCTCAAGGCGAGCGCTCTACCACTTGAGCCACAATTCTACTTCCAGTTTTCTGGTGGTTAATTGAGATAAGATTCTCATGAACTTTTGTGCCAGGGCTGGCTTTGAACCATGATCCTCAGATCTCAGCCTCCTGAGTAGCTAGGATTACAGGTGTGAGCCCCCAGCACCTGGCTTGGTGATGCTATCTTAATACATGTATGAAATGTGTAATTGTTAGATTTGGGAAATTGGCGTATCTATTAAGTCACATATTTGTCATTTCTTTTGCATTGGAGCATTCTGAATTCTCTTCATTCACCATTTTGGGGAAAAAAAGGTAGTACTAGGATTTGAACTCAGGGCCTCACACTTGCTAGGCAGTTGCTCTACCAGTTGAGACATGCCCTCAGCATGGTTTTAGTTTTTTTAAAAAAAACTATTTATTGGGGGGGATGGGAAGGGGAAACAAAGGAGGAGGCTACAATGTTTGATAAGAAATGTACTCATTACCTTGCCCATGTAATTGTAACCCCTCTGTACAGTATTTTCACAATAAAAAAACCTATTTATTTGCTTTACATTATTTTCAGAGTATAACTTTTGTATTTTTTTTGTCAGATTTATTCCTGTGGGTTTTTTTTTTGTTTGTTTGTTTGTTTTGTGCGGGTTCTGGGGTTGGAACTCAGGGCTTGGGTACTGTCCTTCATAATGCTCAAGGCTAGTACTTTACCACTTGAGCCACAGTACCATTTCTAGATTTTGCTGAGTGGTTTATCCAAAATAAGATTCTCACCGTCTTTTCTGCCTGGACTGACTTTGAATTACAACCCTCAGATCTCAGCCTCCTGAATAGCTAGGATTACAGGTGTGAGCCACCAGCACCCAGCTCTGTTTATTTATTTTGATGCTTCTTTAAATGTACAGTTTGTGATACTGAGATATATGGACTTTTTTTTTTTGTTGGTTGTGGGGCTTGAACTCTGGGCCTGAGTGCTGTCCCTCAGCTCTTCAGCTCAAGGCTAGCACTCTACCACTTGAGCTACAATACCACTTCTCGTTTTCTGGTGGTTTCTTGGAGACAAGATTGTCTTATAGACTCTCCTCTTCTGGCTGGCTTTGAACTGCGATCTTCATATCTCAGCCCCTGAGTATCTAGGATTACAAGTGTGAGTCAACAGTGCCCGGCTGAACATTTAAAAATTGTATTTTAAGTGGGGTGCTGGTGGCTTATGCCCGAATCTTAGCTACTTAGGAGGCTGAGTTTCCAGCCCAGATAGGAAAGTCTGTGAGACCCTTATCTCTGATAAACCACCAGAAAACCAGAAATGGCATTATGGCTCAAGTGGTAGAGTGCTAGCCTTGAGCAAAAATGCTCAGGGAGAGTACCTAGGCCTTGATTTCAAGCTTTAGGACCAACACCAAAAACAAAATTTGTATTTCAAGTATTTTATTGTAATTGTAAAGAAGTATACTTTATTTTTGTATATTGGTTCCTTTAACCTTGCTGAACATCTTTATCTTTCTTATATGCTTCTAAACCTTTAAAAGTATGCATACTCTAAGCATTAATATTGATAATGCTTGCATGCTAGGTTTTGTTGGGACCTACATTTTTAACTCATTTGAGTACAATCACTTTTGGAACTTGTTTGTGGCCCAGGAGGTACAATTTTTATCACATGGGATGATACCAGAATTTCAATCTGGCAGGGCACCGGTGGCTCACACCAGTAATCCTAGCTACTTAAGAAGGCTGAAAACTGAAGATCAAAGTTCCAAGACAACAGGGCAGAAAGTCCCTGAGACTCATATCTCTAATAAACTACTAAAAAAAAAAAAAAAAAAAAACCCAAAAGCCAGAGTGGTGCTATGGCTCATGTGGTAGAACACAAAAGAAGCTCAAGGACAGTGCCCACGAGCTCCAGAACTGTCACAATTTGTTTTTTCTTTTCCTTCTGTGGAAATCAAATGAATATGAGTCCTGTGAGCATTTCTCGTTTGAGGGTGGCTCCTGCTATCTAGCCCAAGCCAGGCTCCATCTGGTAAATCATTCTGCCTCTGCCTCTCAAGTGCTGAGATTGCACACTTAGCCTCTGTTGGTGACTTTTAAAGTTCAAATTATGGGAAATAGTAGGGGAGTATAAGTCTATTACAGGACTCATTTATTTATCCATAATGGTTTTTGTTTGCTATGGCCATTGCCATTTAGGAAGTCAATTAGGCCTAATTTTTGCCTATCTAATCACTGTCAAAAATCATTCACTTGACAAATGCTAGGCTCTGTCTACATTAACGAGATGGATCTGTTTTCATGTAGATCTTCCATTAAAATGTGCGAAGCCGGGCTCCGGTGGCTCATGCCTGTAATCCTAGCTACTCAGGAAGCTGAGATCTGAGGATTGTGATTCAAAGCCGGCCCAGGCAGGAAAAGCTGTGAAACTCTTATCTCCAATAAGCCACCAGAAACCAGGACGTGGTGCTGTGGTTCCAATGGTAGAGCGCTAGCCTTGAGATGAAGGGCTGAAGGACAGTGCTCAGGCCCCACGACCAACAACAACAACAACAAAAATGTGCTACTTGGGTGTAAGTGGTGCATGCCTGTAATCTTAGCTACTCAGGAAGCTGAGATATGAGAACTGTGGTTCAAGCTAGCCCAGACAGGAAATTTCTGTGACACTCTCATCTCTAGTTAAATGACTAAAAAGCTGCAAGTGGAGCTGTGGCTTAAGTGGCAGAACCTTAGTCTTGAGCAAGAAAGCTCAGGGACAGTGCATAGGCCTTGAGTTCAAGCCCCAGGACTAGCACCAAGAAATAAATAAGCTTTCTTTCTGTTTCTTTTTCTTTTGTGCTGCCACTTGAGACACAGCTACATGTCCAGCTTTTTGTTGGTTTATTGGAGATAGTCTCATGGATTTTTCTGCCCCAGCTGGCTTTGAAATGGGCTTCTCTGACCTCAGCCTCCTGAGTAGCTAGGATTTCAGGCGTGAGCTACTGATACCAAATGTCATTCATCTTTAAATTTAATTTTTAGACAAGGTCTCACTAACTTTGTTCAGGCTGCCTTTAAATTTTTTATTCTTCCTGTTTCCACATGCTGGGATTACAAGTATCTAGCACTCCATCTGATTAGTTTATTCATTTGACTCTCTAGTCAAATTCTTTTATATTGTAGATCTTTTGCACATTTTTTCCTTTTCTTCCATTCTTTTTTTTGTTTTAATTCTCTTAATATTTGAATTTGCCAGTTCCATTCTTTATTACTTTTTCTCATATAAATGAAAATCATTAATTTCATTGTCAAGGTGATGTATGAACTTGTTACCCCCTCCCTCATTTTTTCCCTCTTTCCTTCCCCACCCCCCATTTTCCTTTCCTTTTGTGTGTTTATTTCTCCATTAATACTAGATTGTTCTGTATACTATAATTTGAAAATCCTTGAATTCAAATGAAGTCACGCTGTATTACTCTGTGCTTTATTGTCTAATAGAGTTCACTTGTTACACAGTTGTTATTCCTAGTAGGCCTGGAAAAGTGATTCTTATTGACTAATAAAAAGCCTGTTTTGCAGATTTGTGGAATGTGTGTGTGTGTGTGCGCGTGCGCGCGCACGTGCACGCACCTGTGTGCCTGTCTTGAACTCAGGGCCTGGGTACTGTCCTTTAGCTTCTCTGCTCAAGGCTAGTGTTCTACCACTTCAGCCACATCTCTGCTTTCAGCTTTTTGGTAGTTTATTGGAGATAAGTCTTATAGACTATCCTTCCTAGGCTGGCTTCAAACCAGGGTCCTCAAATCTCAGCCTCTTGAGTGGCTAGGATTACAGGTATGAGCCACCAGAGAATTCATGGAATTTTTTTGAGGATACAGTTCAAAAGAGGTAACATATTGGTGATACTGAATTTTTTGTTTTCTTTTTTTTTTTTTTGGGGGGGGGGGGTCTGGTTGTGGAGCCTGAACTCGGCCTGGGTGCTGTCCCTCGGCTTTTCAGCTCAAGGCTAGCCTCTACCACTTGAGCCACAGCGTCACTTCCGGCTTTTTTCTTTTTGCTTATGTGGTGTTGAGGAATCAAACCCAGGGCCTCATGCATGCAAGGCAAGTGCTCTACCACTAAGCCATCTTCCTAGCCCCAATACTGAAATTTTCTTTGTTGCTATTTTGTTTTGAGATTGGGGCTCTACACAGGGAGGTGGCTCTGTGCTCATGGGCTCAAATGAATCTTCCGCCTTAGTCTCTTTTAAGTAGCTTGCCACTGTACCTGACTACATTTAGTTTTTCTAAGGACATGTGACTTATTTCCTTCCTTCCTTCCTTCCTTCCTTCCTTCCTTCCTTCCTTTCTTTCTTTCTTTCTTTCTTTCTTTCTTTCTTTCTTTCTTTCTTTCTTTCTTTCTTTCTTTCTTTCTTTCTTTCTTTCTGTGATGGTGGTACTTGGATTTGAACTCAGGGCCTCATACTCACTAGGTAGGCATTCTACCACTTGAGCCATGCTTCTAGTCCTTTACTACTTTATTTTTCAGACAGGGTCTCATGTTTTTGCCAGGGGCTGTCCTCAGACTTTGACTGTTTTTTTCCACAGCTTTTCATGTAGCTGGGATCACTGGTGTGTGAAACCATGCCTAGCTTATTGTGATGGGGTCTTGCTAACCTTTTGCCTGGGTTGTCCTTGAACTGGAGTTCTTTAGATCTTTACCTTCTGAGTAGTTGGGAGTAACAAGTATGAGCCACTTTGCTCTGATCTGCTTATAATACTCAGTGGGAATTTACATCTTTTTCTGTTAGGGTAATTAAACATTGAGCATGTATCATAGTCACTAATTGATTAAATCTGGCCTGCAGTCAGTTGTTCATGGGCCTCTAAATGTGTTCCCATAGGGTGGGCTCAATTTCACAAAAAAATAAGTGTGACCCCATGCATGAAATAATGTCTTCCATGGAAATTCATGTCAAGTAATGTTGATTTTTTTTTTTATAGTAAGGTTAGGAATAAGGTGGAGGCAGATTGATCCTCTAGCTAAATTACTATAGACTTTCAGAAGAACAGTTTAGAAAATGCCATACTGAACCACGTGGTGTTTGCTCATATCTAACCCTAGTACTCAGAAGGCTAAGAGCTGGAGTATTGCAGTGTTCAAAGCTAGCCTGGACAGAAATGTCTGTGAGATTCTGTCTCCAGAATAACCAGGAAAAGCAGGGTTGGAGGCATATGTTAAGTGGTACAGCACTAGCCAATTAATGAAGCCAAATGAATGTGAGTCCCTGTGTTCAATCTCTAGTACTACCAAAAGAGAAAAAAAAGAAGCCAGGTACCAGTGGCTCACACCTGTAATTCTACTTTCTCAGGAGACAGAGATCTGAGGATCACTGTTTAAAGCCAGCCTGGGCAGGAAGGTCCATGAGACTCTTATCTCCAATTAAATACCAAGAAAATCTGGAAGTAGAGCTGTGGCTCAAGTGGTAGAGTGCTAGGCTTGAGTGAAAAAAGTTACAACAGTGCTCAGGCTCTGAGTTCAAGCCTCAGGCCCAGCACCCAAAAACAAACAAACAAACAAAACAGAAGAAGCCATACTATTTGCATAAATTTAAGGAAGGGTGTTTGTTTTTTTTTATTTGTGAGATTGCTCAAAACCTTAAGTTGGTCACCTGGAGTTTCTAAGGACAAGCAGTTTCAAGACTGCTAGTATGAATTCTGCATATCAAGTGGCAGAAATTTGTTATGATCATTCTGGAGATCCACTCTACACAGAGAATTTAGTGGTGTCCCATCAGCACTTCTTACTTCCTTGGCTCACTAGTGAGATAATTCTTTTATTTATTTATTTATTTTTGTGGGTTGTGGGGCTTGAACTCTGGGCCTGGGTGCTGTCCCTGAGCTCTTCAGTTCAAGGTGAGCACTACTACCACTTGAACCATAGTACTACTTCCGGTTTTCTGAGTGGTTTATTGGAGATAAGAGGGGTTTTAAACTGTGATTCTCAGATCTCAGCATCCTTAGTAGCTAGGATTACAGGCATGAGCCACCAGCACCTGGTGTGAGAGAATTCTTATTCTGCTATTTTCCTTCTGGAATAGCTTAATTATAGCATTAGAACTCTGTAGGAGAGATTGTAGATCATGACTAAGTCATAGAATACATGTGTGGTGACAACAGAAACATAAGAACACTTTGTAGAATCACAGAGTTGTCAGATTCACCCATTTTCCTGTCCACATATATGGAATGTTCTAGGAGTCTGTGACCTTTGAGGATGTAGCTGTGAACTTTACCCAAGAGGAGTGGGCTTTGCTGGATCCTTCTCAGAAGAATCTCTACAGAGATGTAATGCTGGAAACCTTCAGCAACCTCGCTTCTATAGGTATGAATGACATTCCTTCACTTGGTCAATTAGAGAGCAAATAGAGAACAAATTGTTCCATGATTTGGAATGTGGAAAGGGAAGAATTTAAGGAATAATTCAGGCATGATGGTTACAAGGTATGCTTAACCTAGAAGATATTTTTTCTATAATTTCTTAATAGTTCATAATTTTTTCTGGATCTGCATTTTAGGGAACAGATGGAGAGAGCAGAACATGAAAGATCAGCATACAAACCCTGGGAGAAGTCTAAGGTAATTTGCATGTATAAGAGGAAGCAGCATCTCTTGAGTGAACCTTGCATGTCATGAAAATTTAAAAACATGCAAAAAAAAAACCTCCCACACAACTTTTTAATTACCATTAGAGAAATTTCACCCAAAATATGTATTTTGATGTCACAGAGCTATTCAGTGTTTGTAAAGTATTTCATTTTGGAGACAACACTAACAAAACACACACATGAATGTTGTTTTAATAGTAGCTCTGGGTTGCAGAGTAATCATTTGTTTTCAAATTATTCATCCATGGCAGAAAATACACAGCTTTTGTCAAGTAGTGTAAGTTCAAGACCTACTAATAAATTTTCATTAATAAAGTACCTATTCCTAATTTTGTGTTATTTTCACTTAAATTACATGGTAGACTCAGTGAAAGTAAAGAAGGTAATCCGTACAGATACCTGCACCCAGATTCCAATATTAATGTGAGCAAGAAAATTTGGACTAGAATAAAAATATGCAATGTGTATGAGAAGGTTTTCATATGTCATTCATTCTTTAATAGCCACACCATCTCTCACTCTGGATATAAACCATATGTGCATGAAGAATATGGACAGAAGCTGTATAAGTGTGAACAAGGTGGGAAAACCTTCATTTCTCTTACAAGTGTACAAGGACACTTGGCATCTCACAGTGTAAATGGACCATATGAGTGTAAAGTATGTTTCAAAGCCTTTGATTTTCTCAAATCATTTAGAGTACATCAACAGACTCACAGTGTGAAGCTTCACAATATAGAAAATCCCTATGACTGCAAGCAAAGTGCAGACACCTTTGTTTGTTGTAGTTCTTTTCAAATACATGGAAGAATTTACACTGTAGAAAAATCTTACGAATGTAAACAATGTGGAAAAGCCTTCAGACATCTCAGCTACCTTCGAGTACATAAAAGAACCCATAATGAGGAAAATCCCTATAAATGTAAGCAGTGTCGAAAAGCCTTCAAAGATCACAGTTCCCTTCATGTACATGAAAGAAGTCACAGTGGAGAAAAACCCTATGAATGTAAACAGTGTGGAAAAAACTTCAGATATATTGGTCACTTTCGAGCACATCAAAGACGTCATACTGGAGAAAAATTCTATGAATGTAAACAATGTGGAAAGGCCATTAAACATCTTAGTTACCTTCAAATACATGAACGAATGCACAGTGAAGGAAAACCCTATGAATGTAAACAATGTGGTAAAATGCTCAGTAGTTCCAGTTCTCTTAAATTACATGAAAGAACTCATACCAGAGAAAAACCATGTGAATGTAAACATTGTGGTAAAATTCTTAGTTCTTCCAAGTCCCTCCAAAGACATGAAAAAATTCATACTAGGGATAGACCCCATGAATGTAAACAATGCCATAAAGCCTTCAGAGACCACAGCTCCCTTCAAGTGCATGAAAGGATTCATACTGGAGAAAAACCTTATGAATGTAAACAGTGTGGAAAAAACTTCAGATATCTCGGTCACTTTCGCGTACATCAAAGACGTCATACTGGAGAAAAACCATATGCATGTAAACAATGTGGCAAAGCCTTCAGTGATCATAGTTGTTTCCGAAGACATGAAAAAACACATACTGTAGAAAAACCCTACCAATGTGAGCAATGTTTTAAAGTCTTCAAATACCACCTTTCCCTTCGAAGACATGAAAGAACTCATACTGGTGAAAAACCATATGAATGCAAAGAGTGTGGTAAAGCCTTCAGAGACCACAGCTCCCTTCAAGTACATGAAAGGGTTCATACTGGAGAAAAACCCTATGAATGCAAACAGTGTGGAAAAGCTTTCCGGTATCTCAACTACCTTCAAGTACACGAAAGAACTCATACTGGAGAAAAACCCTATGAATGTAAACAGTGTGGCAAAGCCTTCATGTGTCTTGGCTACCTTCGAGTACATGAAAACACTCATACTGGAGAAAAACCCTACCAATGTAAACAGTGTTTTAAAGTCTTCAAATATCACCTATCTGTTCGAAGACATGAAAGAACTCATACTGGAGAAAAACCTTATGAATGTAAATACTGTGGTAAAGCCTTCAGATACCATAGCTCCCTTCAAGTACATGAAAGAATTCACACTGGAGAAAAACCCTACAAATGTAAACAGTGTGGAAAAGCCTTCCGGTATCTCAACTACCTTCAAGCACATGAAAGAACTCATACTGGAGGAAAACCAAATATCACTGTAAACAGTATGGGAAAGCCTTCAGAAATGTATTACCTTTGAGTACAGGAACATATAGTGAAGGAAATCCCTATGTATATACATAATATGGCAAAGCTCTTAGTTCTAGTCCCTTGAATTACATAAAGGAACTCATTGAAGAAAAAATGTGAGCAAACTATGTGGTAAAGTTCTTAGCTCTTCCAAGTCTTTTTGAATACAGAAGAAAATATATGCCTGGAATAAATTCTATACTTGTAAACAATGTGGTAAAGCCTTCAGTCCTTACCAGTCCTTTCAATGACAGAAAAGAACTCCTACTGAAGAAAAGTTCTATGAATGTAAACTATATGTGAAGTCCTTCATAGGTCACAATTTGCCATGAAGACATACACATACTGGAGAAGATCCTATGAATGTAAACAGTTCACTAAAGCCTTCAGAGATCACAGTTCCCTTCAAGTGCATGAAAGAGCATGAACTGGTATTGAGCTTTCTTAAATGATTTTCTGTATCTCTTGGGATGATCTTGCTTTTTCTAATATGTATTATCTTTCAAATATGAAAACATGGCTTTTATAGGTTCAATCCCTTTTGATATGGGATATAAGAATTTTTACATTTGCTTTTCTAATACTTTGTTGAGGCCTTTTGTGTCCTTATTAAAGGATTTTTTAAATAGTACTGGGCTTGAACTGTGCTCAAAAATTTTTTATACCTTATGGCATGTATTTAGTGTATATAAAGTGTGTTGTATGCATGTGTAATATAAACATATTTAATATGTAGAATATAGCATGGTTTGTATATAAGCATATGTTATATATAACTGGTTTATATTTTATGTAATTAAAATTACATAATTACAATGGAATATGCTTTTGTCAATCTATAATATAATGTATTTCAGTTCACTGCTAGCTGACAAAATTATTTGAACATACCCGTCACCTGCTTCCACAGGAACAAAAGGAAATATCACCTTCCTAATACCACAAACTCTTCTTACCACTCTGTATTTTCTTAGTTCTAAGGTGAAATCTCAGTGCAGACTTAACATAGTTTACAGTGCCTTTCACCTTTTGATTATGAGTAGAAGTAACTAATAATTAGCCTCTCTCATTCTTACCTGCCCTGTGAGGTAGCATATGTTTGTCTAGTAGAACTAGGGTGCTAAAACTTAGTTCAATGTATTTTAACTTTTATAGTCTATTATCAGAAACCATAGGTATGTTCTCATAGAGAACTGAAGTAGAGTTTTAGGTTTGCTGCTGAAAGCCCTCAATTGATGGATTTCCATCTTGCCACATTCTTCCATACTTCTGTAGAGACATTCTAGGAGGCTTTGTGGACCTCTCTCCTTGCTCCATGCTGTCACTGGCCTACATGACATGTCAAGAGAAGAAACTAATTGCTGTCACTGGCATTGTTGGGTGTGTGCATCTCAGTGGGTCTGAGATATGCCTCACATGCACACCATACAAACCCTAGCTGACAGACTCACTGCACAGGCATTTCTAGCATAGTATGTTCCTGGCACAGTACATGACTACATGAATCCTCAAATGACCATATATATGTGAGATGAGGGAACTACATCATGGAATGCTGGCTTTGGATCCTGGTTGTGTGAGAGAGAGTTGGTGCCATGCAGGTCTACATGAAGGAAATAAATCCTCATGGGCTGAGGTTCAGACTGAGCCTTTTGGAAAAGGACTTCCATCCCTTTGCCTGTGGTCAGAACAGTATGTCAAATCCTGGAGATGCCAGAGACCAGGAGGAGGGGGAGCATTTCCTGAGTCCCTTCAGTGTGGTCTCTAGACCTTGAGACAGAATTGGGCTAAGGCATTACCAGACCCAGGGACTCGGAGGGTGTCTGACTCACACTCCCAATCTCCACATAGCAGAGGTTGTACTAACATTATGCCTTTATTTCATGCAGCCCCAAGAATGAGACTGGAGTGTATGGGTCTTCTTGGCCTTGAAGGCTATCAGGCCCTGCTTGGCCTGTGGCTCCTGGTCTTTCTCATGGACCTAGGGGCCTAGGATTGGTCTGTGGAAGGACAAGGCCCAGAGTGGCAGCCCTCATCCTGGCATGCCTACCCATCCCCCTTCCTCACCCCACTACTGTGTATTCTCTCCAGACTTCGAGCTGGCTGTGCCCACCTGGAGGTCTCTTGCTCACACATGGATACCCTGTTTGCTTGCCTGCTCCAGCCCCCTTCATGAGCCGTCCCTCGCCCCTGCCTCCTACTCCAAGCCTCACCCTCTCTGAGCCGGCCCTGCTTGCATGTTCTCAGTTTGAGCGGGAACCTGAGCTCTGCGTTCCCAGCTCCTCTTCAGCCTAGTCGGAAGAGGGAGGCAGGAGAGACAAGTGTGAGGAGACACAGCCCGCCAAGGAGAGAGCCCTTAGCCACCGCCCTGTGCGTGGTGGGCCGGGGCCTCCACGCCCGCCATTGCCACTCCTGCTTCGCCTTCGGCTCAAGCTGTGCCTCCGCCTCCGTCCAGACGGCCGGGGTTATCTTCTGCCCCCCAGTTTCGGGTACGGGAGCACCAGGCGCCCACCTGACTGTCCCTGGCCCGAAGGCCATGCACTGGCCACGCCGGGCCCGAGTCTGAGCTCGGCCTTCGCGGCCGCGGGGTTCCGGACCTCGGACCGGGCAGCTGCCGCCCGACCGGATCTCCCGCCAGGCGCTCGCCGCCCGGAGGGGTCAGCGGCCCGGGGCACGAGGACCCGAGTGGGCAGGGGTCCGACCGTGCCCGGGCTGCGAGCCCAGGGCCAGGCGCGGAGGCAGCCGCCGCCGGAAGCCGTCGTGGCCATGGCCCCGCTGTCGGGCTTGCCCCGCGGGTCGCAGCCCTGGCTCTCCAGCTGGGAAGGGGCAGAGCCGGAGGACAGCGGCCTGGAGCCAGGGAGGGACAGCCTCGGGGAAAGGCGGCTGGAAGGAGTGTGGGCTTGTGGGAGGGGCCGGGGCAGGAGGTGAGAGGTCAAGGGGTGCTGATGCTCAAGAAGGGCGGGGCCTGGGGGGGGGTCAGAGCACAAGAGGAATGGAGCAAGAGTGGAAGTGAGGGCCCAGGGGCGGGGCTTGTGGGAGGACCCGGATCCTGAGGACAGTGCGCACACCGAGAGCACCCTCTGGCGGGCATCAGTGGTCACTGCACCCTCTGGTCCTGAGGAACGGCGCATGCGTGCCTAGAGCGCCCTCTGGCGGGAAGCGGCGCTCACTGCACGCTGGGTCCCGAGGAGAGGAGCATGGTGCTCACTTTGCACTCTGGCAGGAAAGCAGCCCTCACTGCCCCCCTCCCCCCCCCCCAGCTTCTGAGGATGACGGTGCACAAGCCTAGAACACCCTCTGGTGGGAATCAGTGCTCATTTTACCCTCTGGTGTTGTGGGAGGAGCAGATCACAAGAGGGATGGGCAAGAACAGGAAAGTGAGCGGCCCAGGAGTGCGCTTGTGGAGGGGCAGAGCACAGGAGCGGTGTGGCAAGGGAGCAGAAGTGAGTGATCCGGGAATGGAGCTTGAGGGAGGGCCCAAGGTTCTGAGGAGTACAGTGCACACACCTAGAGCACCACGTGATGGGAATCAGTGGTTACTGTACCCCTGGACCTGAGAAGAGGAGGCTGGTGTGCACACCTAGAATCCTATCTGGTGGGAATCAGTGGTCACTGCACCCCCTGGTCCTGAGAAGAGGAGGCTGGTGTGCATACCAAGAGCACCATCTGGTGGGAATCAGTGGCTACTGCACCCCTCCCCCTCGTCCTGAGAAGAGGAGGCTGGTGTGCATATCAATAGCATCATCTGGTGGGAATCAGTGGCTACTGCACCCCCCCTGGTCCTGAGAAGAGGAGGCTGGTGTGCATACCAAGAGCACCATCTGGTGGGAATCAGTGGTCACTGCAACCCCTCAGCTCCCCCCCCCCCCACCTGAGAAGGATTGTGCGTGCGCACACCTAGACCTGCAGAGAGGAGGATGGTGAGCATGCCTAGAGCACCCTCTGGTAGGAAACAGCCCATTGTACCCTGAGTCCTGCTGAGGACAGTGCACCTGCCTAGTGCGCCCTCTGTGGGAATCAGCCCTCACTGCACTCCAGGTCCCGAGGAGCAAGTTGCTAACCTGCCTAGAGCGCCCTCTGTGGGGATCAGCCCTCACTGCGCCCCAGGTGCTGAGGATGACGGTGCACAAGCCTAGAGCCTCTCTGGCAGGAATCAGTGCTCACTGCACCCTCTGGTTTTGTGGAGGAGCAGAGCAAGGAAGTGAGGGGCCCAGGGGTGGGGCTTGTGGAAGAGCAGAGCACAGGAGGAGTGGGCAAAAGCAAGGAAGTGAGTGGTCCAGGGGTGGGGCTTGTGGGAGGGACGACGGAGGAGAGTGGTGGGACAAGAGTAAGGAAGTGAGCAGTCCAGGGGCAGGACTGGGGGGACAGAGCACGAGAATGGAAGGGCAAGAACAGGGAAATGAGGATTAGGGAGCCTGTTAGTAAAGGGTTAATGTAGGTTTGGGGAGGGGCTTAGGATTGTAGAAAGTGTTACTCATGCAGTTACATATGGATTCGGTTTAGCAGCTGGTTTGGGGTGAGGCGTAAGATTGCTGAGTGGCTTAGGGTATGTGTTAGGGTATGAGTGTGGGCTAGGGCACGTGTTAAGTTGTGAGTATGGGTAGAGTTAGGGTGTATGGTAGGGTACATGTTAGGGAACATGTTAAAATAGTGTTTGGGTTTAAGGTACATTGGGGTACATGTTAGAGCATGCATTTGGGGTAGGTTTGGGGTGCATGTTAGGGTGCACATAAACTTATATGGTTTAAAATACATGTGAGGGTACTTGATTCTGTACATATTAGTGTTTAGAGTATACATTAGGGTACATGGTACAATTATGGTAGGTGTTCAGGATTGTTAGGGTTAAGGTATGTGTTAGAGTTAGGGCACATATTAGAGAATATGTTAGGGTACATTTTGGGTACATGTTAGGGTGCATGTAAGGATCACTTAAAGTACGTGTTAGGGTATTTGTTAGGATACATGTTAATGTTTACTATACATTTTAAGATTAAGGTACATTTTAAGATACATAAGGTATTAGAGTTAGGGTACATTTGGCGTATGGATTTCCATCAGGGTAAATATTAGGATGTGAGTATGGGCCAGAATTAGGGTGTATGATGGGGTATATGTTAGGGAACATTTTAGGGTACATGTTAGGGTTAAGGTACGTGTTAGGACTAGGGCCAGTGCTAGGGCCCTAGTCCTAACCTTACATGTAAGGTTACCTGTGTGATTTAGACAATGTATTAGTGGCTAGAGTATTTATTAGGATATGTGCTGTGTTTAGGGTGCATGTAAGGTTATAGTTTCTTAGGGTACATTCAGGGTACATGTACGGTTTATAGAGTAGGTGTTTGGGTACTTGTTACCATATGGGTTAGTGTCCAGAGCTTGTTTAGTGTGTTACAGTATATTGGGAAATCTGTTAGGTTTAAAATACATGTTAACGTAATGGCACTTATTAGGGTATGTGCTTGGGTCCATGTTAGGGTATGTGTTAGATTTAGGGTATTATTTTGATAGGGGATATTTTAGGATAAGGTTAGGGCACATGTTAGAATGTGCATTTGGGTACATATTATGGTATGTGTTAGAGTTTGCATACTGATAAGGTCCTTGATCAAAGGAATGAGGCTGATACAAAGCGGAAGTTAAGCAAAGCTTTTATTTCACGCCAGGTATGGGGAATCGAACTGACCGACCAGGGCCATCTCTATGGAGAGAGCGACCCCCACTTAGTCTCACAGGCTAGTTTTTTATAGGGCAAAACCGCAAACCACAAACTAACTGTAAACATGTAGCTAATTTTACTTATTGGTTAAAACAGAAGGCTTACATATGT